TGACTAAGCAAATTGTCGTGTCGGCCAATCAATGCGATGAATCGCAGGCAATTTGCTTCAATCACACTCATTTCAATTGCGGCAATGTACACGCTTTTCCACTATTTACGCCCTTGAACTCATTCAATGAATACAGAATTAATCTTGATACACGTGAGTGTGCAAAGTATGAGCTGAAACTCAGCGAAATTATGCACCGTATTTCTCATGATTTATCATCGGACTTGGCCTGGCCTCCGACAAGACTGAAAATTTTCTTCAAAATCAAAATGTATGAACACAGAAAACCCTGTTTTCACTGACAATGCCACGGAAGGAAGTGACTCGCAAAATCTGAAAACGTTGCGTAGCGTTGTTCGAATCAAATATAATCGGGTATTTTATTAGGCTAATTGAAGAATTGTATTCGCATTGGAACAATCATGATTTAAAAAAAAACGAAGTGCACCGTCGATTTTTTTCAAACACAACAGACGTCCTCTCTCCACGGAAGTTGGGGAGAAACTGACACAGAGAAAAGCAGTACTGAACTGACTCCTTCCACCTCATGAAACACACACACACATACACACACACACCATGTTCCCCATTCTGGGCCATGCGGACTGCTGAACTCCGGTTCCCTCCCCTCGGTTCCTGGTCCCCCAACCTTAAAACCCTTTACCGCAAATTGAGAAGAGTTTTGTTTGCCAAGCCTCGGCAATAAACCACAGGCAAGCCTGTGTCTTGTATTACCGGCAGCAAGGAAGGCAGGAAGAAGTGGGGGGGAGAGAAAGGTATCTGGGGTATAGTTTCATGTGACCCATACGGTACTTGTGGGGACCCAGTAATGACAGGAACCAAAGCAATGGAACCCGAAGTTCATTTTTATTTGCTTTTCCATTTTTTGTTCAAATTGAAAGCCAATACAAATTTATTAATGGTTCCTTACTCTAAGTAGCCATCGCCGAATTTTATGTCCTCACATTGGTGAGCAAAAAGTGACGCATTGTAGAATTAGTTCAAGATGAATACATACAAAAGTATCACAAACACGCAAAAGCGCCAAGTGGAAGTAACACAAAACTTCCCATGAAGAATACAGTCAAACCTTAATTTAGCGCCTCCATTTGTCCTGGCACATTTTGTTGCAGTAAGCAAGGGTGGCACTAAATTGACGGTTTTGTACGAGAGGGAGGTTCAGTTAAGGGTTTCCTTTGCAGGAAAAATAAGCTTGTTGATGGAATAGTTCGGCCAGACAGTCTGATTTATAAGAGAAAAAGCCTTGAGCAATAATATGAAGCTCCAATGTACCATTTCATGTTGCATTTCAAAATATTCATCAAGGCAGAATACTTGCACACGGTATTACATTTTTAAACGGATGCCTGAAGTGGAAGAGCAGAGCTGTTCCTCAAGATTCTTTGTGCATTCAAGTTTTACATCAAGTGCCTTCATGAAGGAGACATCAGCAATGTTCTCAAGCAAGCTTCCAATTTTTTTAATTTATGATGAAGGAAGGTGTCATTCAAGAAAACAGTTTTTGAACAATGCACAGGTAAAAGCAAAAATTAAATTTATAAAATAATCCTGAGTTTTATCACTTTTATGTGAGTGTGGGAATGTGCTTCTGAGTTATAGCTCCATGATTTCTTCAGAAAAATGCATTGATTTCCTCAATTTTGCCCCGATTTTGAAACGTGACGAAGATTACTTTTGCGGCACTAAGTGAGTTGGCACTAGATTAAAGTGTCCCTCAAGAAGATAATGGAGGGAGATCTGCGCCAGAGAAATTTGTGGCACTATGCAAGGGTGGCTACTAAATCGAGGGTTGACTATAATATCGAAAATAGATTATTTTTAAATTCCTGGTGCATGCTATGAAGAAAATACTCCAGGGTTTTTACCACGTGGAACCACGTTCCTTGTCATTCTAAAATTCGATTATCATTGACTCAGGCAAAATCTGAGCCAGTTTTGATGCGTCACGGTTCGTGAAGTTGCAGATGATTTGAACAGCCCTCATGCAAGGAAATCTTTTACCACAAATTACAAACCTGTGGCTTGTATTACTAGCAGCAAGGCATGTCGGAATACGGAGGAGGGGGGAGAATGTGTATGTGGGGTATAGTTTCATGTGACCCGTACTGTACTTGTGGGGTCCCAGTAATGACAGGCACCAAAGCAAGGGAACCCGGAGAGTTCAGCAGTCTGCCCTGCCCAGAAATGCCAACATTATGGAAGCGTTCCATGCAGTGGAAGAAGTCAGTTGAGCATTGATTTTCCATGTGTCAATTTATTTTGAACTTCAGCAGAGAGCTGACATCTGTTACTGTGTTTACGACATTTCCTTCAAGTCGCTATACAGTATATCCTTGCCTTCAAGTCTTCCAGAGGATAGGCCTTGATGAGGCAAGAACCCACTGAATTGAGGAAGATTTCAGGTAGTCCTGATTGAATAGGACATAAAATATGGTAAGTTGAAGAAACCTGTATCTCACCTGGAAAACATGAACATTATCTTCAGACATCAAGTGGCTGAAAGCAGTAACAGGTATTTGCAACACATTGCCATTGCAGATCAGAGTAAGTTAACACGATACAGTGTGACCACATTAAACCAACTACATGTACTTCATAAAATTAACAAACTCAATTGGAATTACCACTAAGTTCACAAGAAAAGCGATGAAATGAGAAAAAATGAGGGTGATTGTTGCATGAAGGTATTGTACACAATATAAAACAAACTAAGAAGTTTAGGTGCAACTCCAACTCAATTCCTATGAAAATGTTGATCCCATTTTAACAGAATATTTCTTATTTAAAAAATCCATTGAATTCCGGCATTTGTCAAAGTTCGAATTTTAGTTTACCTTTTATCGAAGATTTGAAATTCTTTATGGATTTGCACATTACTAAAGTTAAGCTACTTTCCTCTTATTTCGCTGAGCTTAACTTTATGACATGTCATGACATAAAACAATGAGTACGTCTAATATGATGACATTTGGATTACGTCTAACTGGAGCTGAGGCAACATTGTTGTAAGTAAACCAAAAATAAAGAAAAATTCAGTCTAGAATCAAGATTTTCCCTTTCTAGAATGAGAAATACAGTTTCATGAAAGGTCGGTTCGAAATTGACCTTTCCCAGTTGCTTCTGAAATCCATCCAGACAGAACAGAATTTGGGAATACGGTTCCTCAATATTTGTGGGAAGAATAGGACAGAAAAAATGTCTCTAACCACTATAGATTTTGTGGTCTACATTCGAAAAATATTTTCGAGAACGCGAATATTCAATGACTGCGATTGAAAAGCAACGAAGTACTCTGATTTTCTGAAATTCGAGAATAATTTTGTGCCTAGATAATGATGGCAAGTGCCGTTCGTTCAAGAATGATTTGCAGATTCTACCATGATTCACCAGAACGTTCCCAAAGCATAACCAGAGGGGGTAGAGGGTACTATTTTTCTAGCCCACAGAAATAATTTGTCACCTTGTCTGAGCATCCCGATAGCAACAAACAGGTCCCGAGGATAACGAGGACTGGTACATTTCACATCGTGCAGAACTACACAAATTTCAAAGTTGAGACCGAATATCTTCATTGCTAGCTTCGCCTTGGAAAATAGCACGATGGATTCCACGGTTTCTATTGGCACCCCGACAAAGCGTAGCAGACTTCCAGCATAGCTTGGACTAGTCAGACCAGTACCCCACGATATCCATTGGACACATACACGCACGCGAATCTGACAGAACGCAAGTTCATGACTAATTCAAACAGGGCGAGACACGTAATTGACATGACATACGCAATCCATAAAGTCTGACCTCGATGTCTGATGCGCTAGAGATCGATAGACGTAACTGACAAAAATCTACACATGGTAAACAGCGAGTATAACATATCAATGGACTGAAGACATTCCTCAAACTTACGTTAGAGATCCACGTCGGCTATACAAACAAAAACCACGTCAAAGACATTCCCAGGCATGAGACAACTTAATGCCGTGTTGATTAAAATTCTTCGAATCCCGTAGCGATACTAGCACAAAGAGCATCCTTCAAACCCGGAGATGTGATTTCAGACACAAATAGAAGTCAGCGACCAGTTCTAGAAATGATACTGTACTTATTCGACAACGAAAATGAATCAGCTATGGTTAGAACAAGATTCTGGTTCCTTCTCACATGAAGAGAATGACGATGGAAGGGTTCATACTAAAACTGATCAGGAAATTACGTACGCCTCGAAAAGTCAAGATTCCACAAAGAATTCCTACAATAATCTTCAACTACAGTCATTCTTAAGAAGCGAGTTGCTTTCCAGAACATTACTGCAGTTTCTGTCGATCTAAGGCATCAAGTTCACGAGTAAAAATGAGTCTTCGTCAACCCACCCTCTGCCCTCAAATGTGCCTTCATATACGAAGGCCCTGATCGAAATATATCAGAACAGGAAACCCCTTTCCCAAATTTTACAAAATGTAAAAAGGCCCAGCACTTTCTTTTACAGGAGGGTGAAAATAAATGTTTCGCCACACGGTTGTCTTGGGTTCAAGATCCGCGTTTTCATGTGACGCATTCAATCAATGGATAAACATCAGAAACTCGCCATTAGGCGGCACAAATGATTATTCTTCCTCATCCTGGCGATTGTAAAATGTACCATAAAATCCAACCGTAGCAGCAAGCAGATATATGACAAGAATATTTACTCACCTGAATGTGCTTCGAGGCTCCAGGCGCGTTCTCCATCACCTAATGTATAAAAACAAATATTCTGCCGAGGCACTTACGCATATCCCCCAGAAAAAAAAAGGTTAATGCACCAAATCACTGCTCCATTCCCAAAGTAACGCGCCTACGAGATCAAACAGCGCCGACGACACTTAGTACACAATGCGCAGGCAAACTTGCTAATCAGAGCCCCTAAATAAGCCAGGAGAGGTGCGATTAATCAAGCCCTATGTGCAACCGGATCGAGGAATTAAAAGACAAACAAGACATCTTCAAATACAGGTTCTTTTTTTCCTTTTCCGTCGCATCAGCATCACTGTGGCATCCCGCCGAGCTCGGGAAACGCGAACGAAAAACTTTCTTCTAACAGCACTATGTTCAGGAAGACAAAGACATTTCAACTGTCGATACGTCATTCTGCAGCGCGCAACTCGCGTTAGAAAAATCGAAAATAGTCTGTTCAAGTGTCAATATTTCACAACTCACAGCAATAATTTGTCACACTCAATGTCAACGCAAAATCAAAGACTTCCGCTTCGACCTGACGGGAGTAGTGGAAAACGCTTTTTCTACAGCAATACGCGGTGAAAATGGTGACCCTAAAATTCCGCTTGATGAGGCAGGCGAGGATAAAGCTCGGACTGATCCGGAACTTGCAATTGACAAAGACGTCCGGACGACACCTCTGTTTCGTGCCCTGTTAATTCATCAAGATAAGAGCATGAAAACCCAAAATTGGAGTCATAAACGGAGCGAAAAAACGAAAATCTGAAGAAATAACCGGGAGAAGATATCTAAAAGGAACAATCGTAATATTAAGCGTCGGAAAGCTCCGATCAAGTTTTCAGAAATCTTCTGAACGACCAATTTTTACAACCGAAGAAGTAACTACGATGTTCCATGCCAACCCCTTCTCCGAAAGAAGCCTTTGAACAGTTCAGGAAGCATGAATCAAGAGTACAATCAGATCAGGGAATGTGCACAATAATCAAGGGGAATAAATCCAATCGTCAGCCCGCTAAAAAAGCACTTGCGAATAAGAGTTCACACGACAATATAATTTCCTTGCATAGCTGCACTTTTAAATCCAGCGGAACCTATAAAAATTTAACTCGATCTTTTCTCTGGAATTTGAGCAAACAAAAATAATTTCCGTTTAACGAGATTCTTGTAACTACGCAACAAGAATTCTTTGACGTGATACCCCCTTCATTGAGAACCTGTACTGCACAACGCGAATATACTGTACTAGAAAATAGATACTGTACTCCAATCTGGCAGCATGCAAAATGTCTTGCTTTCGACAAAATCTCAAATTCAGACCAAAGAAAGCAGTAGAAATAAGTTGACCAGTATTTCTATTCTGAATAATCTGATTGGCTAAGAGTAATAAAAAACAATACATACTTCTCGTCTTCAAATTTCAAGTCATTTTTCTTACCCAGGAGAATTGAAACATAATTCATCCTCATCAAGAAAAAAGCATTGGAAAATCTCGCACTAAAGCGCCTCATTTCGGCGAAAACGCGGTACAATAAATTTGATGAAATTGAAGTCTCTCACCTTCTTTCGATTTCAGACATCGTGAACTTCGTCAAGATCCTCAGAAACCAATCAAAAACGTAAGGGTATTCTTCACTATGAATGTCGTTCAAGTAATCGCAGTCATCCAAGGCTAAAAATACTTGGGCGTCTTCTTGCGTAAACTCTTCGTAGCCAATAAAGTAACTTGGTCTCTCCCGCCGCCAATCTTCATCGCTTGGGGACCCGGGTGCCGTAGAAAAAGAATCACATTCTTCCGGAAGCGCATCGTCCTCTTCATCACATATTTCCAAGTCTTGCGAAAAGCTTATGGAGAAGCTCCCAGAAACAGTATTGTCGTCAACGATCTCTTCGTCTGAATTTTCGCAATAATCTAATCTCAATTCCGCCATTCTGCCGCATAGCGATGTTATTGGTGTGACAGGAGAAGAATCAGGCGGAACAGGGTTTGCTGGACGTTCATAAGGGGAGGACGGCAAACTTCCGAACACAATTTTTGAGCGCTTCACAGGTGGTTTGGGAGGAGTTTTTAGTATAAACTCTTCCAACTTTTTATCTTTCATGTCCTCGCAAATCCGAGAAAGGAATTCATCCAGTTTCTTCAATCCCCGAGAACTAGCTATGTCGAGGAAGTCATCGAGGAAATCCCATCGTTCGGACCACAAAACACGATATTGCCTACGGAACAAAAGTTGGGGAATTGTATCGATCAAGGTGACGTAAAATCAATCGCATTTCGAAGCATGAAATCTACCTTAAATTGGGCGCCTATCTTATTCTAGCATCTACCATCAGACATTGTGCAACGAAACAACAAAATGAGATACGTCCACGGAAAGCACCTTGCCAAAATCACAATTACTGGTATTTACCCACTTTCGTTGACTTTTTTCATTGCATTCTTAGATTCCACTCTAAATAAAAACCTATTTCAATAACAGTTCTCGACAACAATCGAACAAGAAGGAAAAAAGTTTAGAAGAAAAAAAAGCATCATATTTAACCCCTGAATCCACAGGAAAATGGTTCATTGAATTTCAAGTATTGTAGATAGAATGCTGATAGAATTCACACACACAGAATGCCCACTGGCGGATTCAAATAATGAATGATTCTCGTCTTTGCCAACTTTCACGCTATTCTGGAGAAGGGTAAAAATGTTGAATAGCAGCACGAAACAAGTCTTCCGAATGTTTCTGTAGATTTCGTAGTACAGTGCCTTCAGTCAATCGTGCAGGTACACAACACATATTTTTGGAAGATGAAACATTGAAGCATAAATTATGTCTTTTTGCTCCAACATCTGATTATTGCAGTACACACCTGCACAGTTTTCTTCCAATCCGCTCCGCGCCTTTCTCATAATCACTCAACTTGACATTAAGCCCCGGGGCAGAATGAAGTGCTTTCAAGCTTTTTGGGATACTTTCGTTGCCAGCCTTCCACGTATGCATGAAATTCGGAAGTAAATCGCATGGCACTGGACCGGCAATTGCTCGTAAATGCCCACCATCAAAGGTTTCACACGCATCAGACACATTGGTTTCATCTTGCAAAACTATTTGAGGGCCTTGTTGTGATTCAAAACACAAGACGACCCCCGAGCCAAGTAACTGAAACAGCCGCTCTTTCTCCCACTCCGCCAGATTGTCGGGTATCAAATCAAATGGTAGCTTGTCGTCGGCGTTTTTCTCGAAGCGTCTGCATTCTGGGACAGCAACAAGCATCTCCACACATCGCACACAACCTGCCATGTTCCGAACAAATTTAAATCAAGCATTTTTAGAGCTGCGTCTTCATCGATTTTCCCACAACGAATCGTAAATTGATGCAAGTCACATTCTTCCGCAAAGGACTGTTAGCACGACTATATTCTGACAAAAACGGGAACTTGAATAATCCAGATATAATTCGAACCTGCGGCAACTGCACAGTGCAACGGAGTGTTGCACTTTTTTTTCTCCCTATTTTTCAAATACAGGTCAGCAAGATGATTTGCTTTGAACGCCAAATCCTCCTCTGATTCCATGGGATAGGCTAGTTTCAAAAATGCCGAATCTTTAATGGTTTCGAGCAGGAGGGAAATCATTTCGGGACGCCTGGCATACGCCGCAACGTGAAGTCCGTTCCTCCGCCAATTTCCTGGAACAGTAAAACGCGGTTCACAAATCCGAACAGCGCTCAATACAGTACAGTAATTCAACGAAAGCTACCTTCACGAAGAATCGTCGGACAGTCCCCATTTGCAATAAGGTACCTCGGGTTTGACCAAACCTTATCTTTGAATTTCCGTACATCGTTTTGTTCAATTATCATGCGAAATTCTGTGGACATTGATAAAAGGTGCTTCATTACGCTGCGATCCTGACCAATGCTTGAACGCACCTGAGAGCATTGAGACGGTGACGGACGGAAATGCGGCAATTGCGACTTCCGGAGCAGGACTTGATTCTGACGGAAACCTCTTCTCTCGATTAGGGGTATCAACCGAGCTAACATGGTCGATTTCATCAACACTGGTACAAATCCTGAAACGCGCACCGGGAGTCTTCTTAGCTTCTTTAACGGCTTCCAGTTGAGAATCGAATGTCTGTGATTGCCGATGCGGAGTGGACGAATCCTCCGGAAACACAACAACAAAATATTTTTTCTCCTCTTTCATGCTGAATGCATGCACTAACGAACTTCAATTGAATAACATCTGAAACCCGAAATAAGAAAACAATCTATCAAATATCAGCCTTTCTGAACGGCTTCTCCCGATTCAACAGCACTTCGCCGAATTGTTGAAGTATCTTTCGCGAACCTCCGGAATACAGTAGTTCCTCACGTTTGGATTCACATTATGTTAATCATTTTTCGTGTCTCACGTCGATCTATACATCAGTTCCCCAACTGATGTGCTACTGCACAGTAAGGGATCCCCTATCGGGACCCTTAACTACGACATCTAGCCTCCTCCTTGGAAACCTCATGAACCCTTCAGAGCTCCCACCCAGGCGTTGCCAAGCTGTAGATGCTTATCACGATCAGTGGAGACGAGCGCGAAGCGGCAGAATTAAAGACTCATTCGGTTATTGACTTCTGACCTGAAAGCATTGTTTTGAGCTTTGACTGTTATATTGTTTGTTTCTGTTCTTTGAGTTTGTGCTGTGTGGAATTCTCGAGTATCTGGAGTTGGATTAAACCTCTGGACTAAGTGACGTTAACCGAGGACTACTTTATTCACGATCTTATTGCACTTAAGGTGTCCCCGGGAAACTTACATATCGCCACTCCTGAGTGGCCATTTTTTTTACCTCTGCTGCCCTCTCTTTTCGCCGAGTTAAGTTCTGTAGCAGTCTTAAACGCTGTTACAATATTCGGGATTCCGCAAAAACTTACTTTGGGGGCGGTTAGGTCCGATTAGGTTAGGTGAGGTTATGTCAGTTAAAAGATATTTTAAACTAACATAACTTGACTGAGTATGCTGTGCCGTCTACATGGACATGTGTTTAAATATCGCGGTGTGAACATCATCCGTCGGCGGGTATTATTGAAGCATCTAAATTTCAGGCTTTCTAAAATGTTAGACTTTTCAAACAGATGTCACTGCCCTCATGACTTCTTCTCGCTATAGCTATGTGGTATTTCGTCATCTTGGGCGGCCCCACCGCTAACAGCAGCGGGATGCCATCAGTTCTGGGGCACTTATGTCGTAAGCCATAGGCGATCGCTGCTGTGACCGATTATATTCGTGATCACACAAAGAAACGGTCAATGGCTTTAAACTCAGCATAATTATAGCTGCATGGTACTGCGCAGAGCTTAACGTCCACTTTTTCAGATATTTACTGTACTGCATGATTATACAGTACCGTGATCACCCCTAAATTGCCGCATACAGTATGTGGATGAGCAAGGAAGATATGACGATGCAATTTTGTGATGAAACCAGAGGAGGACGTTGAACAGAAAGAACTACGTACAAAACAATACTTTGACAGCCCTGTGTTTCGACGAGCAGTCGTGGCCGAGTGGTTAAGGCGTCTGACTAGAAATCAGATTCCCTCTGGGAGCGTAGGTTCGAGTCCTACCGACTGCGGTATACTTTTGCTTCACGTTGAACAGTATTGTACATCTTCAGCAGGTAGCATTCAATATCAACAAATGCTGGACTGTACAGTATTCGATGTTCTACTAATATTAGCGAAATATTCGCAAAAATGTACCCGTTTTGGCTTAGTGCGTGATTGAATTCTATATATGATCCGAGTCTTTAAATGTGGGATTATTTTTAGAACGGAGATTAAAACACAGTTTTTCCATCGCGAAGTGTAAAATCTGGCAATAGTACCGTTTGAGCTTGCAAAATGCAAGTGTTTGCTCATAAGAATGAACTAACGAACACATTTGAACAAAAAATACCTAATGTAAATTACATGTGTAAGCAAATTTTGGCGCCGTTTTCGACAGTTGCACTTGTTTATACAGTATTAAGGATTGCGTCATCCGTTTCCTGTTGTAAATATTTTATGGGACTATTAAGTATACATGTCAGAATAAATACAGTTACTTTTGAAGCTAGTTTGGGGGTGTAAATCTTTCAAAAATTGTAAGCCAAATTTTTTTTAGAAGTACTTGCTGCTGCCGGCTGTTCGTGTTAATATAAGTACAGTATTATAGAAGAACCCTTTGGACTTTTTCGACCTCATGAGGAATACACGCTTGTATCTTCAGCTCAGAAAATAGTGAAACACACCCCTTCCGACTGTTTTCGATTTTTCTTTTGAACAATGCTTACTAATTATCGTAGAGTGTGTATCTTTTCTGAAATGATTTTGCTTTGTTATCTGCTTTTTTCTCTTGTTTCCATTTGGTAAACAATCCTTTGTCGATGAAAACATTTTGGAAGGTTTTCTCAAATTTATTGCTTTCACAAATTATTTTCCTTTCAACAACATGGTCAACAGCAGAATCACAACAAATAAGTCTTTTTGAAAAAGACGTTGTGCAACCAAAGTATTCCAACTTATAAATATATTTTGAAAATAAAATTTCTTTTTTTATAAAAGTCCGAGAATGAAAATGACTCGTTCTGATCATCTTCTATGCTGCTGCACTTACTTTGCTAATTTTGAATGTAAAAATTCTATCTCTGTTACGTCAGCTAATTTAATAAGATGTTTTCAAGGTTTTTAAGGCTGCATCTTCAAAAATTAATGCCAACTAATATAGACCCTTCCTTGTGTCTAATTTTTTTCGAAATTACGGTGGTTTGGAAGATTTGTCTTCAAAGGGTTAAATTCCATTTGAGGATTCATTCTGAAAAAGTATTTTTATCAAATCTTTTACCAAATGTTCAAGTAAAAAGCATTCTATTCATTCATGCATATGACGGAGGGACCTAAAAACTGCTGCATATTTGTAATTGTATAAGCAATAATTTGTTATTTCAAGAGTTTTGTGACAATATTCTACTACTGTACTGTATATAACCACAAATTAGACAACTGCTCCATGATGGCTGCATGGATTGACATTTATGACGGAGATATGCTGGGAAATTTGCTTCTATATGTTCATGACAAATAATGATTAGTAATTATTTCTGACGGCTTATAGTGAGCCTCATTAGGAATTCGTATCCGAAAAAATTTTCTTTTACTTTCTTTAACATTTCACCAACAAACAATCAAGATGAATAGGTTATTATTTCTTTTATCAGCAGAAAGTTCAGTCTTGGGTGTTCTCTCTGCAGAAAACCAAGATGATTTCAGCACCGATGTTGTAAAGGCGGGTACATAGCACTTCCTACCGTTTTATTCCCGTTACCCGGCTATCGCGTGGCATATTGAAATTAGACTGAAACTTGTCCCCCAAGGCCCTTTGACAATAAGGTTGGTCACACATTCCTGGGATCTTTCTTGCGCTTCCCTTGCCACCAGCAGTCGGTTGACCCGCGGGATCCGAATCGACAAGCCGAAAAGGTGCAGCACTTGTGGGTCGTGGGCGAGAGAATTTTCCCTGGGACCCGAGAAACTCCCCGTCAGTGCGAGGCGCTGACTCTCTGGGGTCGGGCCGGAGAAAACCCGCGTCCGCAGCAGTGTGTGTGTATATATTTACAACATACATATACACCAGAGAACCCATCATGTTTATTGCATTTTTTTTGGAGTGCCCGTTTCGGCGGGTTTCATTATATGGAATGAGTTATCCATTTTCCCTCGAATTACAGTATACTGTAGTGTAGTTGGTTCCTCTGTTGAAAAGCGCGAAATTGAAAAGGGAAAACAACATCGTTTTCTTTGATGTGAGAAAAGCGGTGCAACTTCGTATACTGTATATACGGCGTCCGAGTTCAGCTACGCCCGGCGAAACTTGGAAATTACTTTACTTGAAAGGTGGAGGAAGAATGCGATGAAAAGTTTCTGATGCAAAAGGAATTTGGTATTAATGCCTAGAATTGTAGGATCCTGACGTCCTAAAAATATAATCATTGCGCAATAAATCCTTCAAACAATGCCAGAAACATTATTCGCAGGTACCTTCTGTAGCATACGCTGCTTAAAAAAAAATATAACCATGGTTAGTGGAATTTCTTTTTAAACACGAAAATTCTGTGATGCATAACACTTTTTTCTGGTTTCATATAGGGAACCCTTTATAAATGCCCATGAATATGTTATATGCTACAGTATCTGAAGGGAATTTTTTTAGCAAAAGATATTTTTAAATGTTATGCTTCTTCACAGATTAGACGAAATTCAACTTTCCGACAGCAATGGTGGGTTTCATACAAATTTGAATTTTCAAATCGCACCGAAATGTTGCAATTCATTCCATATCGCAGCATGTACAATACTTTTGAATGAAATAATTCATGAATTGAACGCGTTGAAGAAAAAGAACGTAAAATATTTTTCTGAGGCATTTTAGACCTTACGTTGTTTGGATGTTCCGACGATTTTTTTTTAATTTCATGGGAATAAAATAGCTGACAGGGTCTTAGCTTTATCCTTTTTTCGGCTTTCATTTCTCGCACAAGTTTCAAATTATCCACTTCCGAAGGCGAACATGGTTCCATCTGAAATGAAATGAAAGTAGAAACTTCGAAAAGCGAAGTGACTTGGAGTATTCCTTGCTGGCTTGTTCCTTTTGAGAAGACTGACAGCGAATTAGAGTACGATAAGTCCGCCTGCAGAACTTGCTTTACACTCGAAAAGTTTCTACGTATCGAAGACGTTGTCCTCCTAGAGGGTCGAATGCTGGAGAAAGGAATTGTTTTTTAAGGGTTTACAATTTGTTTTGACTTGCCGCCCCGTCAGGGGGATTATTTTGCAGTATTTCGAGGCGCGTCCCGAGACGCGCCGATTGAGTTTCAAAAAACTTGTTTCCCTTTTCAGGGATTTTCATGACTGTTGTCAAAGTCGGCGGGAAAAATTCCGCACAACTTTGAAAAGCGGAGTGACGACCTCATAAGGAACGACCGAACAAGGAAAACTCTTCTGACTGTCGCTTAATCTCATGCTATTCAGGCGGACGTCTTGAACGAAATGTGAGCTTTTCAAAGATGCATAGCTTCTGCAACAGGAGGATCGGTTGCCAATTCCACTAATTCACCAACAAGATGAATGACAAGTCCGGAAGACGGGCGATGCTGGAGGAAAATAGCTTGCGGTTCTTATTGTACTCATACAGTATTTCCTCACATTCCAAGCAAGCTCAATGGATTAGAAATGTGGA